AATGAGGAGCTAATGACAGGGGCTTAAGTGCAGAGCAAATGTTTTGAGAATGATGAGGGCAATGAATGTACAAATGTGCTTTACACAATTAATGTACGGATGGATTGTGATAAGAATTGTATGAGCTCCTAATAAAATGATTTTTTAAAAAGAGAAAAGAATGGGACACTACCCTCTTTCTAAATATAATAATGAATGTACCAATATCAAGCAAGGCACATTACTAAGAAAACCCAAAACTGTCCTTCTAGTTTCTATTTACATTTTCATTCTAGCTTATTTCAAGAGGTTTCTGAAGTGATTCGACCCCAAAATATATGCAAGAAAAACTGTTGTTTAGCTTTTTAATCTTAAGGGGGAAAAAATTACTAGCTCTGTTTATCTAAATACAAGCACAGGAAATTTACAAAGTAAAATACAGGGCAATGGTTTCATTATTTCTAGAACAGTAAAAGCCATCTTTAAAAAGTTTTTGTTGTTTTAAATGGGCTTTTTGGACATCTACAAAGCTCTGGTGAACTCATCTTATCTAGTTAGATAAAATGAGCAATGGGGAACAAATGTAGAACATGTAAATGTCCACAATGAAGCTTTACAATTTAAAATATTTACACTGGATCATGGAATCCCTGGGTGGTGAAAACTATTACATGCTGGACTACTCATCAGAAGGTTGGTGGTTCAAGCCCAACTACAGGTGCCTCAAAAGAAAAGTCTGGTGATCTGTTTCTGAAAGGTCAGTCTTGAAAACCCTAAGGATGGCAGCTCTACTCTTGCCAGGTAGCCTTCTAGGAAGGTCATGACAGGCATATGCTCATTAGAACTGTTTGAGTTAACTTTTGGGGCGTCAAACCAAACCAGCTGCCAAGTTGATTTGGGCTCATGGCGAAAGCTATGGGTATCCTGTTTCCCCGAAAATAAGACAGTTGGTCCTTATATTAATTTTTGCTCCCAAAGATGTGCTAGGTCTTATTTTCAGGGGATGTCTTATTTTTCCACGAAGAAGAATACAGTACACATTTATTGTTTATTGTTCTATTAAAAGGTCCCGCACTTCCTGTCTGCTCCAGCTGCACTGCGGCCAACAGTGAGTTGCACGGCGGCGCCCACTGCTACAGTCCAGAGTCCAGAGTTACGGTAGTTTGGGGGTGGGGGGGTGGGGGGTGTCTTATATTTCAGTGAGAGGCAAAACTGTAAGTAGGTCTTATTTCTGGGGGATGTCTTACTTTCGGGGAAACAGGGTACCTATAGCTTTCACCATGAGCCCAAATCAACTTGGCAAATGGTTTGGTTTGACACCCCAATAGTTAAACAGTTCTAATGAGCATATGCCTGTCATGACCTTCCTAGAAGGCTACCCGACAAGAGTATCTAAATTTTTTGGTGCACACCCTTTGACCCAGTAATTCACTTTTAGGCCTTTACCCAAAGGAAAGAATCTGGTAATTAAGCAAACTTTTTTTTTTCCCACCAAACATTTATGTGCAAGCTATCAGCAGCAGATAAAGACAAGAAAAACAAAAAATATCTCAAAATATCTATCTACCTACTCTGGTAAGTCCATAAAGGAAGCAGCATTCAAGACAGCTAAACAAATGCTCATAGAAAGAGGTCTGTGATACAAGCACAGCAAGCTGTAGACAGACAGCAGATAGAATTGGACCCTGGTTTTCAGTTGAAATAGAAGCCTATGTGTCTACATTGGCAAAGAATGTTTACGGTTACCTAGGTGAGGAAGTTTAACTATAATTGTTTATAAATCTTCCTATACTATAATCTTTTTATTCCAGAAAAAAATTCCATAACCTGTAAACTCATGTTACCAAAATGAACAAACCACTGTGTAAAATATGATTTGCTCAGGGAATCCAGGACGGATGAGCCCTATAGGACCAGTGGTGTGAGCAAAACAGGGAGGGTAAAGGGAGAATGGGTAGGGAAGAGGGAACCGATTACATGGAACTGTGTGTGACCTCCTCCCTGGGGGACAGACAACCAGAGGGTGGATGAAGGGGGACGTCGGACAGGGCAAAATATGACAAAATACCCATTTATAAACTATCAAGGGCTCATGTGGGAGGGGGGAGCGGGGAGGGAGGGGAAAAATGAGGACCTAATGTCGGGGGTTTAAATGGAGAGAAAATGTTTTGAGAAACGATGTACAAATGCGCTTTACACAATTGATGTGTGTATGGATTGGGATAACAGTTGTAGGAGCCCCTAATAAAATGTTAAAAATATATATATATGATTTGCTCTTCTTAGATTAGCAAGACAAAAACTAAATTTCAGATGTTCTGAAAAAACTATACAATAGGGTCAGCACAAGGTGTACATACATGGACACGTAGCCAGACCTAAAAGTACTCAATCATTTATGAAGGGTAAATTTTCCATGAAAACACTTGAGAGAAAATGTTATAGAATTTCATTCAGGAAAGGGCAGCCCCCTTTATGAACTCTGTAAAAGCTAACAAGAACAGATTTGTGGAGGAAACTCAGTAAAGGACCCATGAAGGGACAACTGGTATACGATCATAGTAAAGGACAGAGAAACGATCACGTTTTGCACAGTGGTCTAGAAGCATCTCTCCGGGATTTCAAGGTAAACCAAATGATGACAACAGAACTTCTAACAGCCTGTGTCATCTCTACTTTGATACCTACAGAATGACCCTGAAGAAGTTCCAAGAGGAAAAGCACTGCTGGGCATCCTATTAAGTAGTCAGAAAAGCAACTTCCAAGGCCAGCTATTTCAAAATCAACCTCTCATCCCTCCCTTAGGCTTTGCCAGGAACCATACAACACAATCACTAAAATCTCTTAACAACATATTAAACGCAGGGGACTGACACTTCAAAAGTATTCATTCTGTCACCCACACAAAACCAGCAATATGCAACAAAATAAGTTCAGGACTTCCCATCATGTTCAGTATTTTCCTTTGTGACAGGTGTTCTTAAATGAAGAAGATACAGTTTTTAAAATATCATTTACAACTCCACTAACACTTTTTCAAAGCCATCATTTTGTGTAGCAGACACTCACACAGAGTACGGTTAGCCACCAGGACAAGATTAGTTTGTCTTGGTGGCTCACTATGAACACTTTGCTTCTAGCAACCCTACAGTGTGGAGCCCCACTCCAATTATTATTTTCCAGCCAGATGGTATTCCTTGCAGCTGGTGAGCAGTGGCTGCTACACAAAGTTACCTAGTAGGAGACAAGACAAACAATACAAAAGAAAATATGTATCAGAGAACAGTCACAAACAAATCAGGATTTTCCCCTGACTCGCTTGTTTTTCCTCCAGGTCTCTCAACCCCAAACCAATGTACACCTTTTGTGTCCATATTCAAGCTATTTTACTATTTTCTGGTCTTAGAGGAAAATAATGAGTCAGATTCTGTAACCCTCCCATATACGATTGTTGTTCTAGAGGTAACTAACGCCTGGAACACACCTCCTTTGGGTTCAGTTCCACATGATGACAGAAAGTTAAAACAACAAAATGCAGGGAAAGAATTAAAATTTTAAAAATTAAAATTTCGCCAACTACCACAAAAAAGAAATTTGCTAGAGTTAAAGAAAGAGAAGAAAAAGTAAGTGTTCTGGTTTTCTCTACCATAAAAGAACCTCTTCAATTAACAATTTGGAACTATTTAGTCTATTACCATTATTTCTGTTTTTATAAAGTGGACAGTGAAGATCTCCAGCTCACTCTGAAAATAACTGAGAGCCATTCTATGTTGTAGCCACAAGCAACAGGGTAAATAAAGTTATTATTTTATAAAAATATGTGCCTATACGTGAGAAGGGGAACTATTAAAATTTAAGTATCACATTGTTAACATAAAACATTTTCCCAAGCAGTTCACGTTATTTGCAGAACAGTCTCGCTGGTGTCCTACAAATAATTTTACTCCAACAGATAATGTTCTATTCAAATCATGTTTTCCCAATTATCTAATTCTACAGCAACAAAATTAATTCTGCTTTTTTGGATCATCAAATAAAGAGAAATTCTTTTTCTCCTAACTTTTTATTGTGAATTAGGTGAAGGTTTAGAGAGCAGATCATCAGGTTTACATTCACTAAGTCAACAAACCCCCCTACACATCTTTCCCTGTTTCTAGTACATTTTGCCAATCTTCCTCTGAACAGTTCATTTTTATAGTCTATCCATACTACATCTCCCTAAAAATGAGGACCTCACTAACAAGAATCGTTGTACCCTTTTTAATGGAATTAGTATTTGTTTTCATCTGGTCTGAATAGTTTCCTCAAACTCAAGATACTGTGTAATATCCACATAGAAATCAAAGATTGACGATGGCTGGTGTGGCTTCACTTGCATTTTTCCTAAAATCAAAGAGGTGAGCGCGAAATGCTGCACAGGTTTAAAAAATAAGCTTATATTTTTATTTCATAAATATCTGCAAATTGTCATGAGGATGTTATCTATGCAACAGTCACACATAAGCAAATCATTATACCGGTAAATCCTGGTTTTCCATTAACCTAAAACATAAGGCATAGTAAAAGGTGACCAGTGAGATGAAGAAACAGAGGAGCCAATAGCAGTTTTCCAAGTGGTGAAAATGGCCACAGGCTTGGAGAACCTTGGAAGGGTTCTTGGAAACGTAAAGCTCGAGTAGATGACCAATTTATCTTTCTAGTCTTCCGATTCTACAACTTTTTAGAGAACCCACGGGTAACAAAAAGTCACTTTGGATTAGTGTTCTTTCTGGAACATAAAATAAATATAGAATGCCGGCCTTTGTGTTGCCCGTTCATTTTCGGAAACTAGTGAATGTGGTGTCAAAAAAAGGCGCAAATTAAACACCATGGCAGCTACGTTCTGCTTTTGAATTCGGTTTCTTTGACGTAGAAGCTGCATAAGGAACAGTTATTAAAAAAATAAAAATAAATATAGAATGTTATCTATTTTATAATGTCCGGCACCTTTATTTAGAACCTAAGGTGTAAGTGAAATTGTAATACAGAATTGGAGACAAATTTTAGTCCTACAAACCCATGAATAATTATTATTAATAATACTTACTGTATCTGAATTCCCTTCCAGCAATATATTGATAGCTTTGTTCACATCTCCATTACAGTCATGTAGGGCCACTATGCATTCATCCTGATTTTTCCCTGTCACCTCCATAAGCTGTTGAAATTATCAGAAAATGGTTAAGGTGAGCAAAAACACCACTTGTTGTTAATTTCAATATTCTTCTACATAAAGACAGAAAATACTCAACCCTTCTAAACTGAGCATAAAATTTAAGAACAAGTTGACTTTTTGTATTATTTTGCTTTTAGTTGTTATTGTTTTATAACTATCCCATGTCCTTTCACAGATACTAGCAGAGTCAAACTACAATTCAATCCTCTTCCAAGCTGACCAATTATCAGATTAGTATACACACAGGTATTTATTTATTTACTCACATGCCCAACATCTCCAGATCATCCAAGATCAGATACATAACTACTCGCCCTTAATTCAATAGCAGAGGATTCCCAAACTTATGAACTCCTCAAGTATTAGATGAGACTAAATGGTTCCCACACCAATAAGCACAAAGATAGTGTACAACTGGTGTAAGACTGTGACGCCAGGAGTCGGGGCCAAGTCCACATCAACTAACAAGAAGCATGTTTCACAAAGATCAAGTATTACTATGTGGCTCACCTTGCACAAAACACCCAGTACAATTACTTGGCACAAAAATCAATGCTCCTGATATGACCTCCTACTTCGTGAATGCAATGCTGCACATACACACAAAGTTGTATTTCAGTGTCTCATGATTATAATTCTGCAGTTATCCCAAAATTCACTACTGGACATCCTATTTCCCCCTAGCTTCAACAAGGTGTTCTGTTTGAAGCAATCAAAATCACTATGAACAATCATAGATTAGAAACAAATAGGTATCAGTGAACAAATCTGTAATTTAAACATCTACTGCATTTCAATTATATTTAATTGTTTTTATACCTAATAGCTACAGTTTAATACCTACTAGACAGTTGCTTGACCCAATAATCTCTAGAATGTTTGGAAAACTGCAATGAAAAGACAAACAACCCAATCACAAAATGGATCATAGGACAGATACTTGTTCACCAATGAGGACATCCAAGCAGCCAATAACTACTAAATGGCACTGACTGGGGAGAAACAAGAAGTAACAGCTGTCAGCAAGGATGCAGGGCGATTAGAACCCCTTTCTATTGCTGACGGGCCTGTAAATGGTACAACCACTATGGAAGATGGTATGGAGCTTACTGAGAAAACTATAAATAAAACTACCCTATAGTTCCACTCCCAGGTATATACTCTAAAAGCTTAAAAATAATGACACACCAGACATGCACAGATATGGTCATTGCTGCTTTGTTCACAATCTATGGAAACAACTGAAGTTTCCATCAATGGATGAACTGATAAGCAAATTGTGGCACATGTGATAGAATACTATACAACCACCAAGTGTTATCCTCAGAGCATACATGTATTATAATATGAATAGACCTGAAGGATATAATGCTCCATGGAATAAGTCATGTATATATTAAGAACATACATTATATGATCCATGTATCTTTTATAAGACAATAAGAAATACAGAGAAATCAATGTTCATTGGCATTTGGTGGGGGGAGGGGGTTGAAGAGAATACACTAGTTACTGTTGTTCATGGAAAAGTGACACCGAATGCACACTGAACACAGCTTATCATCCAAAACAAGTGTCTGAGCACTTGTGAAGGGGTATAAGCAAACTAGTACATGTAAATACAATTATGTGAGTGCAGGCACATGTATTCATGAAAGATACAAATACAAATATTCCTCAGACATGGCCAAACACATTCCAACAATAGTTTTCTGAGTTTGAAGACCGAGGACCATCGTGCCATGGGACAACTCATTCAATTGGCGTAATTCAAAATGTACATGATGTGCATCCTAGTAGAGTAGCATCTGGAGTCTTAAAAACTTGTGAGCAGCCATCTAAGGCATCATCACTACAAGTCTCTACTTACAAGGAGCAAAACAATAAGGTAGTGGTAACCAAAAGCTCAGAGAAGAAATAAGTCTCCCTGAGCCATAACTTTATCAATCCTGAAATCAAGAATTAGATGGTACTGGGTGACCACCACAGACAGCTATGACCAGGGTCACAGTAGTTGGTCCTGAAAACAATGGGAGAAAAATATGGAGAACTAAAATTCTTATTTAAAAAAATAATAATTAAAATACTCCAGGCAAATTAGAACAGTAAAGAACAGAGACCTCCCTGGACCCTAAGAAATTCTTTAAACCTACAACTGAGTCTATCCGCAGATCCCTTTTAGAGAAACAGTGGAGTGGTACAAAAGTATAGAATATTACCAGTGAGATCAGTGCCCTAATTAAAAACTATTGGCTCAACAATTACTCAAAAACAAAGATGAGAAGATAGAGGTCCGGGAAATTAGACTACTGAAAACGAAACCAACTGAATATAATTAAAGAGAAGGTTGACACAATGTGATAAATGTAAACTAATGCCACAATGTCACCAAACTGGTATGGAGCTGGTCAAATAGAAACCTAACCTGCTGTGTATGTTCAATAAAATATTGGGGGGGTTAGCCTTGACCAACATTTCACAAAGCTAAGAAAAAAGCCCATGAAGAATCTAGTCTCTGATTTCTTCATAGTCACACCATTCTGCCTCCCTGTTAGCCTCTTCTCATTTTCTTAAGCAGCAAATGCCCTGCAGTCTTGAGACACATACTAGGAATATTAGCTTTTTATCAGTAATCTGTATTAACTGAATACCTGCTACTTATAATTGTTACAGTACATGGTTAACATCAAAATTTCCCAGTGAAAGGATTAGTAGGATAAAGAGCTAAAATTACAACTAAAACTTAGAACTTCTGGTCCAATATTCTCATTTTTATATATCTGCTATGCTATTCAGATAAAAGACAAGTATGTAGAGGGTGTCTTAAATTGTAAGTAGATCTCACTACTGAGAATGTGTTCTATAATTTTTAATAATCCTTTTTCACTCCCCTCAGATTACCATTCGCCTAATAACAGCAACTGTACGCAAGAATAAAATATGACAGAGTAATGAGCTAAGTGTACATGTAAGACTTTCATGGAACAATTATTGGAAATCTTATACCAAAAAGTCTGTACCCAAAATAGGGGTTACAGCTTGCTTTTTATAACCTTAAATGGAAAAGAAAGCTTTACCAGGAAAGGATTTGAAATTAAGATATCACTGTTAAAGTTCTAAATAAACAGCTTTCTTTCAAATGCAATGTTAAACCTTTCCAACTAAAGTTTGGAATTATACCCACTTTGGAAAAGGCAATTCAATTCTCTCCCTTAACATTAAACTAATAAAGGATCAAATCTACTTTGCATACAAAGGTGCTGAAAATGCCAATGTATTGTCACAAATGTCTAATTCAGTATCCACAAGTAAACATCAGTAACTCCAGAAAGATCTCACTGACAAGGGGATGAATATAGTCCATTCGTACATTGCGAACACCTTATATGATAGTTGGAGCCCTGGGGGTGTAGTGGTTACAGATTGGGCTGCAATCCAAAAGACCAGCAATTCAAAACCACCAGTCATTCTGAGGGAGAAAAATGGGTTTTCTACTCACATAAACTGTTACAGTCTCAGAAGCTCAAAGGGCAGTTCTACCATGCCTTATAGGATCACTACAAATGTGATTCTACAGCAGTGGACTGAGTTTTAAATCATAGTTAATACCAAATCCAATATCCAATACAAAAATATGAGTTTAGACTAAGCAAGAAACCTACTTCAAAACTAAAATTCTCCTTTTATGCACAATAAAAACAAATTATAAAATGAGTTATGCTTTACCAGAAACTTACCTGTTTAACTTTAGCTTCAAAATCTGCATCATTCTTATCAAAGATCACTTGAGCAAGACGCATCTGTTCCGCTGTTGCCTAGAAAGCACATAAAATTTACAATTTGAATACCAAAAATCTAAGTTAGATGTCAAGCACTGGTGCTAAATGAATGAACTCTCAAGCAATAGCCCGAAACAAACAGGAATACTGATTAAAACAAAAGGACTCTATGAATATGGGGCACCTCAAATGTACACAACCTGTTCTCATAGAGCAAAGAGAAGCCACCAAATTAAATAGCATAAAGGTCCCATTCCTTTAGCCAAATGGCCTACAGTCCCTGTTCATCTCCATGGACCAGGAGGTTTATTTAAATATTCTCTCTCTTAGGGGTGGGGGAACCAGAACAAGAACAGGAAGAAAGCTGTGGAAAAGTTGCCTGATATTGGCTTAAAACCAACTCAACCAGCTAACCTCTGCCAACTCCAAAATGGTGTCCTGGTCAGTTCCAAAGAGAAAAGGCTATATTTAGCTACATAAAAACAATTTTTAAAGCTATCCTTTTTTGGAATGAATTAAATAGTGTGTACGCATTTGGTTTCTTAGTTGTGACTAATGTACCACGGTTGTGTAAAATGTGAACAAGGAAACTAGGTGAAGGACACTCAAGAACTCTCTGTATCGACCACTTCTGTGCAACACTCTTATACATCTGAAATTACTCCACATAGTTGAATTTTTTAAAAAGAAAAGTACTTTTAGTTAGCTAGCAATCTATACTAACTCCTGAAGTAAAAAGGTTAAACTCTTTATGTGCATCCCCCTTCCCCAAAAAATGTTTTAATTTTACATCAAACTGTTTAAACTACTGAATTATCTTAAAAGGAAAACATCAGAAATTAATGAACTGCTTTTCATCTCAACGTTTAATACATGTTCCGTTTAAGCTCTGTTAAACCATTCTGCACAAGGGCTTTCCAATACATGTCAGTGGCTGATTATAAAGTTCCAGTTCTCTTGTCCTGCACTGTCCAGTCAAATGGCTAGTCCTTTCACACCAACCTGTGCCTGCTGTGACCTCAGCCTGACTGCCGCAATGCTGCTGCTACATTAAACACAGACTGATGTTTATATGGAAACTCTGTGTCTACATTCAATACTTTTACCTCACTCCTACCTATGTATGTGTACAGGAGTCTCCACACACTATATCCCTAACTGCAACGTAAAAAGATGATTTCCCTGACCTATAACAAACTGAGAAAAGTACCAAAGACATGAAATAACCAGATAGGACAAAGGAAAAGCCAGAATGGAAGATGCATCTGGAAAGCTGGCATGGCACATTTAGGCTTAGAGGAATGGCAACCTTTTGGAATATCCAAGTAGACTGCTAATGCCCAGGATACAAAAAGCATACAAACACTATTGGTCAATTTCCCCCCATTATCAACTTCCATTCCCTGAGTTTCAAACATGAAAACTGCAACTTATTCATTTACCCTACAAATTTATTTAGTCTTGCTCCAATTTATGCACAATTAATGCTCATCCCTTCCCACCATTAAGCTTCTTGAAATTACAAAATCTAAACACTTCATACACACAAAAAATTAAAGTGATCCACCTACTACATAAAAGTACACATGTTTAGTATTGCTTGAACAGGAACATAACTATTTGGTAAGTCACACACACACACACACACTTTATTATGAATAGCTATATGATAATGTTTCATGGCCATATATAAACCCCACAGATAAGTGCTACATTTTATTTACTCTAGCAAAATTTCACCACTGTATAAGCACTACAGAGACTCATCCTTATCCCTAAATGTTTATATACATCCTTCCTGTTTCTGAGTAAGTACAAAAGTGGGGAACTGCTGAGTCTGGAGAAATGAAAACAAAATGTTCAAGGAGGATATCATCTGCAAAGAATGCTTTTCACAGAGGCTGCAGAGGTTTATGGTCCACCAGCAGCACAGGGTAGCCTCTTTCTTCAAATCTTTCCCACCTCCAGCCAATCCCTCCCCCAAAAAAGCATTTTCAACTTAAAAAAATAATAACTTTCCAATTTAATTTACCTAAAATTACCATTTTGGCTCAGCTTTTCATCACTTATTAAAGCAAAACTTTACAAAAGACACTCATTAATGTAACACATTAAAAAAAGACTAAGTCAAGGGCAGCAGGGCAATTAGAACATCATTTTGCACACACTCTAGTCAATACTGGTTCAGACAAGAATCATCAACTAATGCTAATTCTAAGATAGAACATTTCATGAGGACTGAGAGATTTGCACATGGTATCAAAATGTCTCCTTGCAGGCTGCTTATTAGTTGCTAGAAGAAACTATATACTATACTATACACTAAACTATAAACTACACACTATATATAAGAAAATATATAGTTGTATATAAGAAAATATACAACTATACACTAAAGAAAATAGACAAAACTTTGATTAAAATCAAAAGCACCAAAAGAAGAGAGATGGACAATGTACCTCTACAAGAGGTACTCAACATCATTTATGTAGTATTACAACAGGAGATATATAACCTGACTCTAATTATCAGCAAATATTAAACATTCTTTAAAGTAACTGTGTGTCCCCTTGGGGGCGGGGGACGAACAACAGAAATGTGAGCGAAGGGAGACAATGGATGGTGTAAGATATGAAAATAAAAATTTATAATTTATCAGGGGTCCATGAAGGTGGGAGGGTAGGGATGGAGAGAAAAAAAGAGAAGCTAATACCAAGGGCTCAAGCAGAAAGAAAATGTTTTAAAACTGATGATGGCAACATATGTACAAATGTGTTTGATACAACTGATGTATTGCATTGTTATAAGAGCTGTAAGAGCCCCCCAAAAGTGATTTCTTAATTTTTTAAAACTGGCCTGTATTTGTTAAAGACAAAAGCTGAAATATTGTTCCAGACAAAAGGAGACTAAAGAATATGCCCAAAAATATTAAAAAAATTTAAAGTTAAGAATATGTCAATTAAATACAAGATGCAATGATTCTGTATTGGAGGAAGAAAGTGTACTATGAAGACCATTATGTGGAGTTAAAAATATTACCAGATTATTAACTATAGAGTGCACTGGAAATATTAATTAAATTTAATTAGTGAACTACCATATATGAGTATAAGTCAACCCAAATATCAGCCAAGGCCCCTAATTTTTCCACAAAAACTGCATTAAAACTGTGCTGAAAAACTTGGCTTATATACCAGCATATACAGTATATGAGTAACTACCATTGTTCTTAGGAAATACATCAAACCAAAACCAAACTCACTGCCATCAAGTTATTGCCAATTCATGTCATCCCCATAGGACAGGACAGAGCTGTGTCTGCTACACTTACAGTTTCTGAAGCTGTAACTCTACAGAAGTTGAAAGCCCCCTCTTTCTCCGGTGGAGAGGCTGATGGCTTTGAACTGCTGACCTTGTGGTCATACACTTAAGTATTAATAGAAAAAGTAGAATGTATACAACTTACTCTCAAATAGTTTAAAGCAACGAATAAGGTATACTGTATGTACAAGTGTATACATGGGGAGAGACATAAACGTATAAATACAAAAAGAATATGAGAGATCAAACGTTATACAGCGTTAAAAATCAGGCAGATCTGGTAAAGGGTATGTGGGAGCTCTCTAAAATCCTCCTGCAAATTTTCAGCATAACCAAAAACACAGAGACAACAATTTACACCCAAACTAGGTACAAGGTATCCCTCACAAACCCAGAGAGGTGACCATTAACAGAGAAAAGATCTCCATAGTTTCTGTTTATGCCACAGAAAGTAGAAGCAAACAAAACACCTAACAAATACTAGAGAAGAACATTTCAGTAGTCAGCGGCTAATGCACACTCGACAGTGTGGCAGGCCAATTTGAGGACGCGGGTTGGAACTGCAAGATCTTGACTGCTCCACTAGCTGGCTGAGTATAAGGTTGCAGAATTGTTTAAAGCAGAGCTTCAAACCTGTTCATTCAAGTTCAGTCATAGCTGATAAAGCAGAACCAAGACAAATCAAAATTTTCAAATTGTGGGTGCCTGGACAAGAACTGAACAGATTATAGGTCAAAGCCCTGGGAGATTCAGAAGCAGTATAGTGAGTCTTAAAAATCTGGAATCTGAAGCTGGAGACTGGACTGACTATTCCAAGTAAAACATTCAAAGTGGCCCAGCTAGCAGCCATCTTTGAGCAGAACATTGAAGTTTGACTCTGCCAGGTAACACACGTGACAGCCTCTGCAATGCTAACACTGCCTTTGCTTTCTAAGAGGGACATCACCTTTCCAGCAGGTTAACAAGCCTTAATTGTTCCAGGCACCCATACTTTTTCACAAACTTTAGTACAATGCAGTTTTGCTTCATCAGACAAACTCAACAAGTTCAAAGCCCTAGTTTTAAAAGGCTGGGCTACGGTGCCACTATAAACTCTTAAAACTAACCAGCCAAGACTCCCTTTCCATTGGGACTGCTGAGAGAAAAATCAAAACCGAACAAGAAAAGTTTCAGAAACAAGCCATGATAATGACACAAAAAAGCTTTCTTAAGAAAGTCACCCTGAACCATGCTGTTGCCCACAAGTACAAGAAAACTAATTTCATATACAAAATAATCACTAGACTGGGGGGAGGGGGGGGAGTGGGAGAGGAGCTGATACCAAGGGCTCAATAGAAAAATTAATGTTTAGAAAATGATGATGTACAAATATGCTTGATACAGTTGATGTATGGGTTGTTATAAGAGCTGTAAGAGTTCTCAAGAAAATGACCTTTTAATAAAATAAATTAAAAAGCAATCACTAGGAAAATAATCAAAATCCTGTGCAAAATTATTATAATTTTAAAAAAATGGGGGATGAGGATTTGTTAGCATTGATGACTGTATAGCCCCCACTCCATGGGAATGAACAACAGAATTGTATTTGTATGTGAATGAATATATTGGATTGTGTAAATGGAGTAAGGGTTCCTGGGGTAGGGTAGGTAAGGGAGGGAGCTGATATCAAGGAGTTCAAGAAAAAAGAAAATGTTTAAACTGATTGTGGTAGCAAT